ATATATATATATAATATAATAATATAATAATAAAAGTCTTAACTCACTGCATATCTCCTCGATGGTGATGTTATCAGCCTGAGAGTCACTGATGGTGATCTGCTCCTCAAACTTACTTTCTCCGAGGATCAAACCTTCCTGAAGAGACGACGCAAATAAAACGGAATTATTAATATCAGATAAATTAATGTTCTCTGGACGGTTGTTACTGTTTAATAAATCATTATTTATTAACCTGTGTGGCCCTGAAAAAATAAATTAAATGTGCTGTACATAAAATATGAAAATAAAATATAAGAAATACAACAGGAGTAAAAACACAAATAATTAGTATTTAAAATAATAAAACAACAAGGTAAAAATGCATAAATATAAGACAAGTAGCTGATTATTCAACAGAAAATGATTTTAGTCTATTTAGACATTTGATTAATTGTTTCAGTTTATCTTCAAACACAAATAGTAAAAAAAAGCCAAATATTCTCTGATTCTTCTCATTGAAAAGTGAATATTTTGGACTTTTGGTTGAATAAAACATAAAATCAGCTTCAGCTCTTCAAAGTTGTGACATTGTTTATGTTTCACACACTAAACGATCAGCAGGTCAGTCGATAAGGAGGTCGGTCGATAAGGAGGTCCGTCGATAAGGAGGTCCGTCGATAATCAGGTCGGTCGATAAGGAGGTCGGTCGATAATCAGGTCGGTCGATAATCAGGTCGGTCGATAAGGAGGTCGGTCGATAAGGAGGTCGGTCGATAAGGAGGTCGGTCGATGATAATCAGGTCGGTCGATAAGGAGGTTGGTCGATAAGGAGGTCGGTCGATAATCAGGTCGGTCGATAATCAGGTCGGTCGATAAGGAGGTCGGTCGATAATCAGGTCGGTCGATAATCAGGTCGGTCGATAAGGAGGTCGGTCGATAAGGAGGTCGGTCGATGATAATCAGGTCGAGCGATAATCAGGTCGGTCGATGATAATCAGGTCGGTTGATGATAATCAGGTCGAGCGATAATCAGGTCGGTCGATAAGGAGGTCGGTCGATGATAATCAGGTCGGTCGATAAGGAGGTTGGTCGAT